GACAAGACGGATCCACCCCCTGCCCTGAGCACAGGACAGATCTACCCCCCCTCCCACCCCCACCAAGATGGATCAACCACCCCGCCCCTCCGCCGACTAGAAGGATCCACCCCCCCTGCCCTCCAGCACAGGACAGATCTACCCCACCCCCAGCACAGGACAGATCAACCCCCACCCCCTGCACAGGACAGATCCACCCTCTACCCCCCAGCACAGGACAGATCCACCCCCACCCCCCAGCACAGGACAGATCTACCCCACCCCCAGCACAGGACAGATCCACCCCCACCCCCCTGCACAGGACAGATCTACCCCACCCCCTGCACAGGACAGATCCACCCTCTACCCCCCAGCACAGGACAGATCCACTCACCTGTCCCCCAGCACAGGACAGATCCACCCCCTACCCCCCAGCACAGGACAGATCCACTCACCTGTCCCCCAGCACAGGACAGATCCACCCCCTACCCCCCTGCACAGGACAGATCCACCCTCTACCCCCCAGCACAGGACAGATCCACTCACCTGTCCCCCAGCACAGGACAGATCTACCCCACCCCCAGCACAGGACAGATCAACCCCCACCCCCCTGCACAGGACAGATCCACCCACCCCCCAGCACAGGACAGATCCACCCCCACCCCCCAGCACAGGACAGATCCACTCACCTGTCCCCCAGCACAGGACAGATCCATCCCCTACCCCCCAGCACAGGACAGATACACTCATCTGTCCCCCAGCACAGGACAGATCCACCCACCTGCCCCCCAAATGGATGGATCCTTGCAGCATTTATGAAAATTGAAACGGGAAATTTCTGTGCCGTTCCAGTCTGTGTTCTCTGTGTTGGGGTTCCCTGATTCAGGCGTGTTTGGGAGCAGTGGGAAGCAGCCTGTTCCCTTCCCCTCCCCACAGACTGAACAAGGGCAGGACCAGAAGCCCCCAGGAGGAGCAGGTCCTCCAGGCAGACGCCCCCTCGCGGGTGTGCAGGTTTCCATCTACAGGGATCTCTCTCGTCACTCGGAGATTCCCTGATGATCCAGGAAGAACACAAACGGTGCCAGTGCCTGTTCACAGGACCTGCGGGATGAGACCTGGAAGGGGCACGGAGCGCTGGCGTCTGAGTGTCCACTGCCATCCGGGCGTGTCCCTCCCCCAGCACGCCCCTTGGGCACGCCCCTCGTTTCCCAGTCGAGTTCATGCGTGGGTCTGTAGCATGGCAGGAAGCAGGAAGGGAGGCGTCGGAATCCAAGACGGCACAGATGCACCTGCTGATGTTCTGGGGGCTGCCCAGAGCCCTGTCCCTTTCTGGCCAGGAGTCGGAGAGCTGGAAATCCGGACCTCCAGCTGTTAAGGGCTGTGTGCAGACAGGCAGACGAGGCAGTGGCTCGAGACCACTGCTGTTTGTTGAGATGGAGGCCAGGCCTTGCAGGGCCCTGCACGGGGGTGGTTTCACAGGTGAAGAGGAGGCCCAACTCCCAGAGCCAGTGAGTGGCACAGCCGAGGCCCCAGCCCCAGCCGGACCCTCCCACGCTGCTGAGCTGGGCGAGGCTAACAGTATGAGGGCTGTCGAGTCTGTATCCTTCCTTTCGGGTTCACATGGATGCTTGTCAGCAGCTTGCATGCCCGACTCCCGTGTTCTGGCCGCGGCATCATTCCGGTCAGGCACACTGGGCGACCGCCGCAAGGCCGGCACCAGTGATACGGGCCCCTATGATGACGCGGTGGAGCTGAGCGTCCCTGACCCCCCGGCACTGTCGCCGTCAGAGTGCAGCACAAATCAGCATGTCTCGGGGCGACCGACGTGAGCACCTTTCCCAGGTGTGGAGCAGGTGGCCCCACTGAGCCGTGTGAGGACACTGAAGTCCCCGTGACAGCCAGGACACACAGCCACACACTCCTCAGAACGCCTCCCCGCGGCTGTGTCTTGATCACAGATCATTTGGTGGAAGGCTCGTTACCCAAAACCAGGCAAGTGTGGGGAGAGGAACCCAAAACGTCCACCATGTACCACCGGTATGTATTTGGTTCTCTAATCACCTGGGCTCAGCTTTGGGGGCCTGACCTTGACACTGTATACATAGGCCGATGAAGATGGCCGAGGACGGTGATGCCGCTGCACTTTAACTTGATTTGGGGAAGCCAGTTGGCTTTACTGCCTGCAGAAAAATAGACAAGGGTGTGGCAGGCCGAGATGAGGCCCAGAGAGCTCAACTGTTACTAGAAATTTGGGACAACAGCGTTCACATGAGAGAAAGGCCCAGATAGCTACAATCCTGCAGCCCAGGAGACGTCACGGAGCCGCTGGAGGCAGGGCCTTCTCAGCCAGTAGTGGCCAGCTTGCCTGCGTCACAGGGGCTACCCACCTCCTCTTCCTTTCTTCCCTTCTTTCCCTTCATCCCCCCCCCCCCATCCAAGATTTATTTATTTGCAAGGCAGAGGATTCAGACAGAGAGAGAGAGAGAGAGAGATCTGTCCACTGTTCACTCCCCAAGTGGCTGCAATGGCCAGGGCTCGGCTAGGCCAAAGCCAGGAGCTTCATTTGGGTCTCCCATGTGGGTGGCAGGGGTCCAAGCACTTGGGTGATCCTCTGCTGTTTCCCAGGCCGTTAGCAGGGAGCAGTAAGGGCTTGACCTGGTGCTCATATGGGATGCTGGCACTGCAGGCAGCACTTAATCCCCAGTAATACAATGCCAGCCGCCCCCCCCCCCCGCCTTCCTCTTTAAAACCTTGGTTATTTCATATTACTTAAAAATACAGTAAAAAGTATTTGCCAGTCTCCCCACACTTTGCTTAAAGGAGCAGGAAAGGGAAAGGAGTGTTGAGGGGCAGGGGAGTGAGCCAGCCAAGGTGAGTGACAGTTCAGAAGACAACGAGGGGCTGGCACTGTGGCGCAGTAGGTTAATCCTCTGCCTGCGGTGCCGGCATCCAATTTGGGCGCCGGTTCTAGTCCCGGCTGCTGCTCTTCCCATCCAGCTCTCTGCTATGGCCTGGGAAAGCAGTGGAAGATGGCCCAAGTCCTTGGGCCCCTGCACCCACGTGGGAGACCTGGGCCCCTGCACCCACGTGGGAGACCTGGAGGAAGCTCCTGGCTTTGGATCTGCACAAGCTCCAGCCATTGTGGCCATCTGGGGAGTGAACCAGCATAAGGAAGACCTTTCTCTCTTTCTCCCTCTCACTGTAACTCTACCACTTAAATAAATAAATAAAATCTTTAAAAAAAAAAAAAGAGAGCATGAACACAAGGCGAGATGGAAATCGGCGTGGAAACTCTGCTGCTTCTCTCTGTAGAGAGGCGTTGTTCTTTGCTGTCTTGCAGAGTTCTGGGGTGGTAGTGCTAATTGATCATTACGATGATAATTAGGCCTCGTTATCTCTGCCTTCCAGTCACAACAGAGGGCCCCTGTACAATAATTAGCTGTATCAGGGGCGGGAAGGAATCAACCATCTTCACAGCGTCCCAGCTCGTTACCTCCGCTGTTGACCCCAAAAGCTTGATAACCAAAGACATGGAAGGGCATTTGTTTTCCTCCGTGAAGGATCTGGGCTTCCTTCGAACTCGGCATCCACAGCAGCGTTCCGAGTCTTTCACTGACCTGATCTGAGGCATCCCAGGCTCTGTGGTAACAGAGCAGACGCAGGGCGTGCATGAGTGGGATTTAGTCCCTGCCACTTGGGTAAGCCCTCCTCGTGTATCCTAGAGCAACCATACACTTGCATCTTTGAGCTTGAAAAGATATGTCAGTGGTTTTCTTTTTTCTTTTTTTGAGAACGGTTGTAAATTTGCTTTATTCACTGAACTAGGCAAGGTGAAGAAGCAAATATGTCACTCTGGTTCATGCTAAAGTAAGAAAAATAGTTGGGGTGGGCATTTACCTAGCAGTGGAAATGCCTGTGTGCCGAATCGGAGTGCCTGAGGTCAGCACTTGGCTGCAGCTCCTGACTTCAGCTTCCTGCTCCTGCAAAACCTGGGAGGAGGGTGATGGCTCAGATAATGGGGTCCCGTCTCTTGTAAAGGTGACGTCACCTGAGTGCCCAGCCTCCAGGTTTGGAGCCCTGCTCAGGGCCGTTGTGGCTTGCTCTCCCTGTCCCTGACTCTTAAATTAAAAAAAAAAAAAAATTCCTGATACACTAGCTGCCTGCAGTGTTGCAATGGTGGCACCGAAGGGTGTGGTATAAAATAAGGAGACGGGCATGTGCCTCTGGGATGGATTTTTAGATGAGGCCAATGGAATCAGGTTGCCTTAAGAGCCTCATTTTAAGTCTTACTTAGGATGCGCTCCCCCTGCAGGCTCCTGGGGCAGCACCCCGGGAGGGAGTTCCCCATGGTTACCCCCTCAGCACAGGTCCCCCAAACCCAGGGCATTCCTACAGGTTTGCAGCCCTAACAACCCCGTCCCTTTCACACAAACTGAACCCCAGCAGCTTTGCTATAGGTGTAAGGAGCTTGTAAGGGCACCGGTGCCGCTCACTTGCTCCCAGGTATGAAGTGTGGACGAGGAGATCATTTGCTGGGTGATGTGCTGAGTTCATCCCTGGTCACTGTATGCAGAGATGTACGTGTGGCAGGAGTAGACACAGCTGGGCCCTAACCTCCAGTGAGTACGTGGGCAGCCGTGAGAACACCAGGTCGGACCTACCGTTCTGCAGGTCGGTCCACGGGCAGTGGTGTGCCGGATGCTGTCTTCACGTAAGAGTGCTGGTAGACAGGGGATGAGACAGGCACCGGGACCCTGAGGGTTTGCTCGGAAGTGGCAGCGCAACTCTGAATTCACGTGGGGCACTGTAAACCCCACGCGAGCAAACAGTGATGGCAGAATTTCATAATGGGGCAGAATGTTCCTGGACACAGCAGGTGGAGGAGCGGAAAGTCTTTGGTTCAAATGGCCAGGGCTTGGGAATCGAGAGGGCCGGTATACACAGATGATAAGCGGGCGTCTTCCCTTCAGAAGAGCGCGAGAAAGGAAGCCTCAGCATGGTCAAGCCACCAAACGAGAGTGTGCAGAAATTAACTTTTTTTAATTATATATCATATAATGTAGTAGTAAAGTTTGTTTGAAGTGCATGAATAAAAAGTTAGTGAAATTACAGGAGGAACAATCTAGACAGCAGTAATAAGTGCATTCCCTGTGCATCGGAAAGAAAAAAGAGTTTTCACTCATTTTGGCCTAAAACTTAGTGTTCAGGTTCCCAGGATTCTGACATCAGAACCAGGATAACGCTGATTAGAACCATAGGGCTTTACAATAAAAGCTAAAATATTGACCATATGATGGCAAAAAGTCTTATTTGTGGGTAACTGATTCTCTTCTAGCTGCTCTCGGAGGAAGTGGGCGGCGCCGTGGAGGAGGACCGCCGCCTCCTGGAGGAGGAGCGGGACCGGGCAGCCTCGTAGGGCCCGTGCTTGTCGCGCGCCTCCAGCTGCGCCTCCAGGAAGTCCCTCTGCTGCTGCCGCAGGGTCTGGCTGAGGAGCCCCGGCAAGGCCTGGATGCTGCCGATCAGAGTCTCGAGTTTGGTCTCCAGGGTCACGATCCGCTTCTCGAAGTCCTCGCTCCTCTCGTTGAGGTCGGAGATCATGTCGTACATGATGTTCTGGGTCTGCAAGACGTGGGGGCACACAGGTGAGGTGGGGGCGCACTCGGCGGCCCTCTAACAAAGCAGACGCTTAGCGACCGGAAGACTGGGGACCCACAGCAGTGCTGGCCTGGACGTCTTGCTGGCCTGGGTCCCACGTTCAGGCCCCTCTCCATGGTCACGTGGCCTCTGTACACACCACCACGGAGAGGACAGAAACCCAGGGGGAAACACCGCACTTGCTGGCTGTTGTGTCCCTGTGCACCAGGATCACCCGGGGAAGGACACAGGCAGGCCAGCCCTTGCCACATCTAAGGCACCCCCGCCTGTGTCACCACCTCATCTTGTGTCCAGCTTCTCAGCCCGACAGGGCCATGGCAGTGGTGAGTGAGGGTGTGATTTGGCACGCGGCCCTCTGTGTTGGTCCCAGGTACAGCAGCCTTGACAGTACACGAACGTCACCCTCCCTTTCGGGAACGGAGCCCTGGGGCCGCTCCAGGCCTGTGGTCGGAGCACACATGCTGCTGAAGCAGTGGCGGGGCGACAGCCGAGGGCCCCTCGTGCCCTCTGGAGGTGGAGTTCCTCACCTGAAGCACACCTGTGAGTGCTCTGCTTCTTCCTGTAGAACGTCCCCCTGCTCTTCTGATCTAACCCAGGTCGGGAGCAGGGGCCTGCCCCGCATGTGGGCTGGGCTGAGGGCGCCTCCTGGCCCAGCCCCCACGCTGAGGCCGCACACACTCCCTGGCCCTCAGTGACATGCAGTGTTACAGACGGGGAGAGGCCACGTGCGTCGTTCGTACAGACACCAGAGGCTTTAGCGGGGTCTCACTGGGAGTGGCCGCCTCCAGGGCAGCCGAAGGGAAAGCCTGGACGCTTCGGTCCACGTGCCTGTGAGCCGCCTGGAGAACTGCTCAGGCGAATGCGGTGTCCTCCCGGCTGACAGAGAGTGAGAGTGGATTTTACTTGGCGGGGGGGGGGGGGGGGGGGGGCACAGGGGAGATCAATCTTGCCCGTGTGCTAGGAGAAACTGGGGATCCTTAATATGCTCTTTGAAAGAGGGTGTGATTATTAAATAATGAAATGGAAAAGAACATAAAAAATGATGGCTTTGGAAGACAATTTTCATTTTAGGATGTCATTTCTGGTACCTTTTTACTGAATTTCAACTTGACTTTCCTCTGAGTTTCCTTGTCATACATAGAAAGCAGTGTTACCATGATGAGCGACAGCTGCCGCGCCCCAGTGACATCCGTCCTGGAACTCTGCTCTCCCCAGGCTGAGACGAGGACCCCAGCAGTACTGCCTCATGCAGTACTGCTGTCGTTGTGAGGTGTGCCCTGTCACTTACGGGGGTCTCCTACCAGAGCGTTCCTGGGGACACCCCCACCACGAGGCTCACCTTTGCCAGGTCCACCAAGGTGTTGGCTTGGTCGTTCAGTTTCCTCTGCTCCATTTTTACACTCCTTAATCTAAAAGACAGAATCTGCAGTCAGCAAGGCTCCTCCTCTCCCAGCCACACCTTACGCCTTCCAAAAAGCATGCACAGATCCACAAGAGCAAGTAACTGCATGGTAATGCCTGGCTCCCCAAGGTCGAGTCCATACTGGTTAGGTGTCTGCTACGATGACAGGCATGCTTCCCCACCAACACGGCAAAAAGGAAGGGAGAGCGCAGAGGCGAGGTGTCCAGTGGAGGACCCGTCCCCGGGGAAGTGGAGCTCGGAGGCTCACGAGGATTTAACCATATGAGAGAAGCCACAGCATTCCTGCAAGCTCCTGGGTCATGACCAATAGACATAGGAAGCCATGTGCGAAGCAACTGGATTATCGTCAGAGTTGAGCCATGAGCACCTTCCTATGCCTACGTGACTAGATACAGGAGTTAGCCCTGTGTAGTCGGAGATGGATCGGGTTAGGATTCAGTCTGATGAGAACACAGTGATAAGTGAGATTCTTATTAGCAAAAACAGCACTTTGGGTCAACAGCAGCACGACCACTGGAAACAGTCTCTTATTCTTCATTGTCATTTCTGCCCTTCGGTCTGAAACTGCCACTGAATTGGAAGGAGGGCTACGCCGCTTCCTTGGGAACTTCCCTTCGAATTCATTTTGGATACAAGTCAGAAGACCGAAGAGCCGATGGATGGAATGTCTATTTGTGAGGTCACTTTGACCTGCTTTGTCACTTTATTTCTGACAGTCAAAAGGCCACTTTGTAAAAACAAAACTGAATGGCAGCTCTTACTATTCCTAACTTAGTATTTCAACAAGTATATAGTCATCGCTTACTGTGCACCAAGCAATTGAGATTGTCCAACAAGAGAACGGGGGTTTGTTAAGTCAACAGTTCACAGCCTTGCTCCAAAAGAGCAGTAGTTCCATCTGCACTATTCACGAAAAGGAAAAAGTCCATGCTAATCTTACTGTGATGAGAAGTCATTTCACAGAGCGGAGTTTAATGCTAAAGGGAGAATTTTTTACTCTTTAAGTTTAAATTAAGGTACTTATAGAGAAGGAATGAAAACTCACAAGGCAGGATTTTCCTGGCAGGGAGATTTTGTCACACATGCTCAGCACGCGCGGGGATTCTGTGCTGAACGGGGAGAGGCAGTATGTCCCCAAATCTGCTCTCCCCCGGAGCAGCAGTGCTGCTGCCAGGGGGATGTAACTGACGGGACCTTCAGCAAGCTGAAGCAGTCGAAGGTTGTACCTTGTCACTGCGACTGTGTTTATGAGGACGCTTGGGATGACGTGAACTATATAGAGATGGAGTGTGCTCTAGTCTAAAGAAATGTACAAACATTTATTTCAACCCTTGTATTGCTGAGAAAGCTTTCTCTGAGTACTTGCACGAGTTGCAGTTCTTGACAAGTGCCTTTTAGAAAACAGAAAAAGACCTTAAACACCTGTGGCTCGGCACACAGACAAAGCACACGTGGAGGTGTGGCTCCAGCCACACAGGCCAACTCCACCTCCTTGTGTGAAAGAAAGTGGGCTGGACTTGGGCGTGTCCTGGCCCCATTGACCTCAGCGGCACAGGCGTGTGGACAGCACTACGCTAGGAAGAGAGAGAAGCATTGCTCCCTTTAATTCTCTTCCAGTTGTTCATTACTGAAAAAGCCAAGGGGTCGTGGGGCAGATCCTGCCCCTGCTCTTGACCTACCACCTGCTCTTTCCTCTTCTGCAGGGAGAGCGGAAGGGGAGCAGGCTTGCAGCTATGTGGAGACAGCAGCCTTGGGCTGGAATTCAGTGCCAGTATTTCAGCTGTCACTTGACATGATGACCTGTCACTCTGTTTTGGGATGAGCAGGGTGTTGCTTTTATCCATTTACAACAGGGATTCATATCAAAGTTTGTTTCACAATTTAAGTCAGAGTTCGGGTGGCACAGGAGTGACCGCCATCTGGGGCTCCAGCCCTGATGCCTGGCGCTGATGGTGGGCACAGCTGGGGCTGGGCAGGGCCGAGCCCGCGGGTGCCTCGCCCACTGACTGCGCTGTGTCTCCCTCACTGGGAGAGCCCTGGGTCTCGAGCCCCTTCCTCTGCCTGTGGCACAGCGGAGCTGGCGGAAGCAGCCAGGATCGGGGGCCACCCTGGTGTGTGTTACACTGTTGCCCCCCGAAAGAAGAATAAGAAACATGCTGATTTCTTCCTGGTGAACTTCACTTATCACAGGAAAGTATCATGGTTTTGGATCACATTTCCATAGCAGCAGTCAACTACTGAAATCCACAAATCAGGGGTCCGCCGGGCGCATGCAGCCGGTAGAGAACTCTGCAGGTGCAGGTGTGGAAGGGAGCGGCTCACACAACTTACTTCCGAGCTCTAGTTTCATTGTGTTGAAAAAAAAAAAAAAAGACAAAACAAAAGAAAAGAAACTGTAAAATATTCTGGAACCGAGTAGCACAGCGGGGCGTTCAGCGGCGCACAGGGGCTCGAGTCGGCCGGTGCTGCGGGAACAACACCCCCACCCGCAGGTGCACCTGGGCCAGATGGAGCGGCATTGGCCTCAGGACACCCGATGTTCACCTGGATGGCAGGATATGTCCTCGCCTGATGTGGACGTGACTCAGCTGGGAGGACAGTGCTCCAAATAGTGGCCTCATCGTGGGTGTGTGTGTGGGGGGGTCACATCTTTCCCCTGGAGTCTGGCTTTGTGACGGGCAGGCATGCAGCACTGCACTTTAAACAGCCAAGTGCATTGGGTTTCTGGGCTCTGATAAAAGTGTGGGTTGACTGATGGGACCATAGTTGAGAGAGGAGAATTAGAAGTTTCAAAATGAAAGCTGCTACCAGATACAGGGTGAACAGGCAAAGAGAACACTAAGTGGCCTGGAGTGACAATCAAAAAGGCAGACGCATCACTGACCCGAGGACACAAGCCAGGAGAGGCCAGTGGTTACGCAGAGGGGCCAGGCAGCTTAGAAAAGGGAGAGCTGAGATGGAGGGGACTGCAGAAGGGGTGAGGACAAATCAGAGACGGGAGCCTGGGGCGCGCTCACACAGGAACTGGGAGTCTGACTTGGCCCAGTGCTCACGGATGGAGCTGAGGCTCCGCTGGGCTTCGGCACAGGCAGGAAGGCATGGCCTTAGGAATCCAGCCCTGGGTGCTTTCCTTTACCTCTCCCAGCATCCCACGCGGCACACACAAGAGGTGCACAGCACCCAACTGCACACGTGACACACCCCGCATCCCACATTGCACACCTGTCACAGCCCGAGTCCTACACTGTACACTCCCCACACCCACCATAGTCCCTCACTGCACACTCCCCAAACCCACGTCCCTCACGGCACCATCTGCACACCCACAGTCCCTCATGGCACATCTGCACACCCAGCACACCCATAGTCCTCACTGCACACTCCCCAAACCCACAGTCCCTCATGGCACACTCACCACACCCACAGTCCCTCACGGCACCATCTGCACACTCACCACACCCACGATCCCTCACGGCACACCATAGTCCCTCACTGCACACTCCCCAAACCCACAGTCCCTCATGGCACACTCACCACACCCACAGTCCCTCACGGCACCATCTGCACACCCACAGTCCCTCGCGGCACCATCTGCACACCCAGCGCACCCACAGTCCCTCGCGGCACACTCACCACACCCACAGTCCCTCATGGCACACTCACCACACCCATAGTCCCTCATGGTACCATCACCACACTCACCACACCCACAGCCCCTCATGGCACCATCTGCACACCCAGCGCACCCACAGTCCCTCATGGTACCATCTGCACACCCAGCACACCCACAGTCCCTCATGGCACACCCAGCACACCCACAGTCCCTCATGGCACACTCACCACACCCATAGTCCCTCATGGTACCATCTGCACACCCACAGTCCCTCATGTTACCATCACCACACTCACCACACCCACAGTCCCTCACGGCACCATCTGCACACCCAGCACACCCACCCCACATAAATAAGCTCATTCAGTCCCAGGAACTGCAGAGTGATCTTTGGAGAAATCCGACCACTTTGCAGTTGCACGCTGCCACCCATCGACTTGAGGTACGCGTTGCTCAGACGACGCAGAGAGAGGGATGTCTGACAGACTCGGGCAGCAGGGGCGCAGTGCCCCACCCCCACAGCACCCTGAAGGGCAGGCCGCCTGCCGCCTTGGACGGTGCCTGTGCACCTGCTTAGGGAGTTTGTGACTCAGCACGATCAGGTGTCGTGAAGATACCATTTACATACGGCTAGAGAACTGTCACCAGGCTCGGCGCTCCAGGGACTTGGTGTTACATGACAGTGGACAGAGGCAGACACAGGTCATCATACCATGGGTTACTCTGCTGGAAATGAGCACACACGTGGTCCTGGGGACAGGGGAAGAGGGGGCTCGGGCCAGGTGACCCTGCCTCCGTCCTGGACACAGCTCCTACACTGCCGGGGGCAGCTTTCACTCAGGGTGCTGAGGGGGCCCAGGACTGATTTCTCTGTGCTGGGGGCAGTGGCCGCCTCTGAATGCCAGGTCACAGTGTCACAGGGTTCAGGAGAGGTGGCCACACTCCCACGACAGCCGTGCTGGGTGGGAAGATTCCCTGGGAGGCACAGGCGAGCGGTCCGCACTTGCTCCAATCTGGGCTCGGCTGCCGGGGGTGGCATTCGGTGACCAGCGAGCACACGCCTTCCTGTGAGCTCCGGATTCTCAGGCTCTTGCTCCCTCCACTCTCCCTGGCGCTAAAGACAGGGTGCAAGCCTCACCTCCTTACTAGAGAAAAGCAGAGCGTGTGTCCGGTCATGGCAGAGGTGGGCGCGGGGCCTGCTGCCCGTCCACTAAGAAGGGTGGCAGTTTCCACAGCCGTGAGCTGCGTCCCTAATGACACAGCACACGCTCTGATGGTTCTGTGTCCAAGCGGGGCAGCTGCACAGACGGGTGGGAGGGTGGAAAATGTGTGGCCCCTGCTCCCTTGTGTATCTGAGTCTCCCGGATACATAACACGAGAGCTCCAGTCTCAGACTGTGCCGTCTGCTGTGCTACCTGGCTCCAAGGACAGCGGCCTCATCGCGCGGTCCGCAGACACGATGCTCACCCACCTGTCCGTGATCACCCCGGGGGCTCGTGACAGAGCCACTGTGCTGAGTCACAGATGTGACCGTGTCTGCTCCTCCCCGAACGGAAGAGCAGTTGAGAGCAGCTGTGCCTGGTGTCATGAAGGAGAGCCACCCAGCGCTGCTGATGGTCAGGATGCAGCAGCCCATGGGACCTGGGCCCTGGGCCCCCACCTCCTCCTGCACCTCGCTGGGGACAGCCCTCTGTCCTGCGTGTCTGTGACAGTTACACAGCAGTGAAATGGCTGCAGGCTCACACAGCTGAGTAACCGTGGCACGGATAAAGTCAGACCTTAGGAGTGGCAGAAGCTGCAGATTCTATGGAACACGCAGGTAGCACGTAGGCAGTTCTCAAAATTCCCATCAGAATAATTTAAAATTCAAGCCAGACCGATTATATGCACGACTTCAGGTAAAGACACTATGCATTATATTAAAAATGCACAGAGATCTTGTTCTTTTTAAAAAAAATTCTGTAGTTAAAAGCTAAGCATGTTAGAGCAAACCTTGTATGAATAATAAGTGAGCGGATTCGAGGTTCCTAGAACTGACTGAAGAGGGAGCCTTCGAGGGCTTAGGGGATGAGTGTTCTAACCCCTGTTTCTTAATTACCAGGGAAACGGGATACTTCCTGGGAGCTAAGGCACGGAGGGATCGCTGGAGGTACAGCCTTCTGGGGACAAACCCAGAACCCCTGTGTCGTCCTCCACGAGGGCAGAGGCCAGGGACACACGACAGGTGGACACGGAGGAGGTACTTACTGGTGAATAGCTTGCAGGAATTTTCGTTGATGCTTCCTTACTTTCGCGTGATCGATCTTTTTGACGAGCTTTGTGTTTTTGTAAATTAGCCACGTTTCCCTGAGTACATTGGCAGCTGCGTTTTTTACCTGTTAAGAAACAGACAAGCACTGATAGGTTGCACATCAGAGCAGACTTCTCGGCAGCACGGGCAGGTGGGGTCCGGGGCGGTCTTCACCCCCGAGACCTCAGGCGCCTGCGACTCTAATGGTGACTGCATGGCCACAGCACCTGATGCGCCCGGGAGGTCCCGATCCGCTTCCAGGCCTTCTACTCTGCTCCGTAAAGACTGTCACAGGGACAGCGGGGGCAGGCTCCTGGTGGCAGAGGAGGGAACCAGCTTTTAGGAGAGGCTGTCTGGTTGGGAGGAGGACGGGACAGTGAGCTGAGCCCAATGCTGGGTTCCGGTCCTGACTGTGCCTGGGTCAGGTCCAGCTGGCGCCCAAGCCTGAAACCCCCGAGTAGCTCAGCCTTCTCCACTGTGGACGAGACCGTTGTTCCCATGGTCCAGCAGCAGGTTCTGCCCTCTGCGTGGAAACGGCTGGGGCAGGGACACTGCATTGCCCAGGCCGACTGCGAGGCCAGGGGACTCCCAGGGCTGTCGGCCTGTCAACAGCTGACCGCTGCTTACTCTGGCTGCCCGCTGAGCGACTCTGTCTCTGGGATGGTGCCCAAGGGGCGGGTGGAGAAGCCACCCTGAGCGCAGGCTCTGCTGGCCTGGGGCCACGGGTTTCTTCCCGATGTGTGCACCTGCGCTCACGGCTTCCTTGGCAGTAATTCCTCACGACAATGAAATCTGGGCAGCTGTTTGTAAAAACTGTGAAAGGTTAGAATACGAGAATTTTCAGTTCCCCTTGCCGACTCCCTATCAGGTTTTCAAGCAGGAACGAAGCTCTTAGCGGATGCGTGTTAGCGGCTGCTCTTCCACAGGGCGGCCAGCAGGAAAGCCAGGGCCACGTGTCCCTCAGTGCTGCTGGAACGACAGAGGCTCCTGGGTGCTCTCAGGTGGGGGCGGTGAGAACACAGGTTGCAGCGGGGAGCCTGTTGCACGCACACGATGTGCAGACTGCGGACCAATGGGAGAGAAGCAGGGGCCTGCGTTCTCGACCACTCAGGAGCCACCTGCAGCTCCTCAGCTAAGGACCCTGCCGTCCACTCCCCCAGCCTCGTCAGCTCCAGTTCCCAGGGCTCAGCCCACTCAGGAAGGGCCAGGGCTCCGTTGCCGATCTCTGCATCTCCCTCCGTCTCTTGGTGCCTTGGCCATGGAGGGACCACAGAGAAGGCTACATTGCTGATGGCAGCGGACAGGCGCTGGACATCACCGCCAACCACAGGTGAGTGCTTGACAGAGACAAGACCTGGGCTGCAGTGCCTGTGCTGCACCTGTGCAGATGCTGGGAGAAGCTGCCCCTCCCACCCCAGCAGCCACAAGGATCCTGGAGCCAGCGGAGGGCCCCAGCCCTGATGACAGAGGCCTGACATCCCGTGTCTCCAATAGCAGGGCAGGGAGGGTAGGCCCCTGCCGACGAAGCTCTCCGCACATCCCAGCAAGCGGCAACCGACACGGGTGGGCAGTCAGCTCTGCCTGTCCCGCGGCTGCCACACTGGAAGGAGCACACAGGCTCCAGCACCTGCCCAGAGGGAGAAGTGGGGGGCCACAGCGAGGAGAGCCTGCAGGAAACAGCAGCCGCATGACGCAGAGAGGTCTGAGCCGGAAGCAGCCCCCCGCACCTTGGCGTGTAGTAGCCAGTGGGAGGCATGCAGCAACCAAAAACACTACGACTGAGCTCTCGTGCTAAGCTTCCTTCCAAAATGAAAGCATTCCGAGGTGCAGTCCCGAATCCTGCTCTTGGTTCGGCCCTGAATGAGCAGCAGTAGGTGACAGCGTGGCGAGACTTCGCCTGTGTCAGGTGTTAAACTGCAAATCTGAATGACTGGCCCTGTCTTACTAAGGTAGCTAACACGTGAGGCTTTTATTTTGAAATCGCTAGATTATTTTGGGTACCTGGACTTGTTGGCCATGTTTGCATTGTAGACTCTGTTGTAAATTTTTTAGAATGACACACAACAGTCTCCCTCAATGCTGTGCACGATACGTGGTGTGCTGTGCTTTTCACATATTTCAAATTTTATGTGGTTACTGGGGTCGTATGGAGAAATGGTTTCTGTATAAAGTCGTTACCCTGAAAATATGTACATGGTGAACAATGTTCATTGAAAATGTTCAGTTCCCTAAAGGTATGCACTGGAAGGGTTGGCAGGTTCCATTTCTTTCCTGGGAGCGTGACGTTCACATTTCAGAGTGGCTTTGACCACTATCTCTATTAGTCATCATCAGAAATTATTTCTCCTATGGAGTATTTTAGGGGATAGCTGCATTTTTCTCTAATACTCCCTATTCTCCTTCAAGTTGTGTCTTTAATCTCTTCCTAACTCTGTGTAGATTTTTGGTCCTTGTTTACTCTTGATGTTTGCACAGAAATCATTCATAAATGATCACTCAGTAGTTGAGAATTTTTATTTTAAAAACTGCGATTACTAATGGGTCTCCACAAATAACCAAATAGAACCAAGTTTCAAACATGGTATTCACTAAGTGGATGCTTTGTTTAAAACAATGCAGAGTGAACTGTGAGCGCGTAGCCCAAGTGCTTTCCTGGAGACGGCTGAGTGTGACAGCGATGCAGAGCGTCGCCAGGAGCCGCACCTGCTCACACATTCGCTTGGTGACAGCCCTGGGGAGGCGGGTTTGTCGCCAGACCACCTGAGGAGTGAGTCCCCAGGCATCCTGCACAGCAGCCCCCTTTGAAGAAGCAGTCGTGAAAGAACAGGATTTTAAACAGCATGACGAGCCTGGTGCAGAATGTGACTTTGAGACCAGAATAGTACCTCTGACTGTAAACGCTTTCTACAAATACTCTTCACGCAACAGGATGTGTGGGAAAGCAAGAGCTCCTAGCAAGAAAAGCTGTGGCGCCAGAGGCCTGGTTGGCTGGGGAAACAAGTCCTCTTCATGAGGATGAGGATGAGGAAGGTCTCTGGACCCACAGCCTCCGGTGGCGGGGGGGGGGGGTGTGACGAGGCTTCAGGGGGCCTGTAAGCTCTTGCCACACAAGTGGCTTTTTCTGCCAAAGCAGGAAACAGTTGAGAGCTGTCATCTGATTTGCAGCATTCTAGAATATGCCATTTCAGCTCCTTACCTGGAAGGAAGTTAACCCTGGACCCCAAGTACGTAAGTCTGGTGAACAGAAATCATCCCAAGGCAGAGAGAAATCACTGGAAACTGAGCAGACCCTTAGAGCACCTTGCAGAGAGCACCCCCCCCCACTTCAGGTGACAAAGCCTCAGGGGACAAGCCAGCAGGCCAAGCGGCAGCCCCCAGCTGCAGGGAGCCTGTCCCTCTGAGGAATAGCTGGCTGCAGCCACTCTAGGTAAAGTCCTGCTGTCCCAGGGGAGGGGCTGCACTCGAGGATGCAGGGACATCCCCCGTGTGGGAGAGGTCACTGGTGCTGAGGCACAGAGGCCCCAGGCCAGCTGCCCTGCGTCCCCAGAGACTGTCCCCCGCGACTCTGCCAGCTCTCTGACAGTCACCATGGGGGATGCTGATTCTCCAAAGTAGCAGTTAAAGAAATGCACTCCTCGCAGAGTCGCTCAGGAAGCGAGGGGAATCGGCCCAGACGCGCTCACTTGGCTTTCTTGTTCTGTCACTTTTTCTTTTTTTTTACTACATAGAGGATTTACAGGCAAACATATGGGCCACATGGTATTTTTAAGCCTAATGTTAAGTATGGCATTAACTTAATTCCTGAGGATGTGTAATCTTCACAATAAGATGGAGGATAGAGGGGCCTGCATGGAAATGTTCTTCCGATGTTGCACGATGTGCCTACAGAGCCGTCCGTGAAGGCCAGGCACGCCCAGGCCGCAGCTGCTGGTCACAGGACACATGAAGAGTCTCATACTGCTGGGAGCTTCAGTCATGCAAAATGGGATTTCAAAGGCAAGTGTCTAGTTGCCAAAAAAAAAAACAAATACAGCCCACGCCAACAAAGGGGCCCTGTAGAAGTCAGGGACGACGTGTTTCGTGAGAAGCCCATGCTTGGATTTCTAAAACTCTGAATCCTCTCTTCTCACGTTCCATGAATTTTGTAATTTCCATCCCTACTAGATATGTGAAAGAAAACCAACCAGCACTCTCCATGTCCCTCCCCTCCCCTCTGTCCATGCTTTCTTGTGGAAACGTACCCTAACTGGGCAGTTGGAAGAAAAGGAGATGACCCTGTGGACAGCAGAGGACACCCCAAAGCCATACACCCCGGCCACGGTCGTGGCACCTGCAACCGTGAGGCTGTGCTAGGCAGCGCACACGTGGAGCTGTCACCGTGGGGCCTGACAGGTCAGACCAGAGGGCTCCTGCTCTACTCCTCAGTACCAGCTGTACCGAGAAATGCTTCTGTGTCCAGGGTGGGTCCCTTAGCACGTGCTGACATTCGCTCTGAACACCTGCCACTGTGCTGAACTCCCTCTGCACCAGGTGGCGGTGGCACAGCCGGCGATTCTAACGCCAGCCTGGTGCCACTGGGGCAGTGGCTGTCTAGTGGGTGAGTGCCGCCTTTCAGGGGTTTCCGACTCTGGTATCCGGAGTCTCCCAGGACTGCCAGGCAGGCTCACGCCTCTTTATGCTCTGACACGGCCATCTGCCTTGACACCACAGCTGCGAGCAGAACTGCCTGACCCCACCGTCCCGGGGCCCACGTGAGTAACTCCACGTGGTGGATAGCGGCCTTTCCTGCTGCTGCGCCGAGCCTGAGGTGCAGCCCCATGGGCGCGGGTCCCTGCTGCCCTGCACAGGCTGGGCCATCTCCAGCCTTCTCCACCAACCCTGCCGCCACGGGAGGGGCCCAGCTCTGCCCCTGCCACGGGCTTCTCAACGCTGTGGCTTATCTGTCTTTGAGCTTCTGTCCTCACAGCAGTGACTCCTCACTGAAGCTTCGGACAGGCCTGCTCAGGTATCTTCCCGTAAAATCCCCACTTCCAGTGGACAGAGGTTCCTTCCTAGCCACCTCAGCACCGCTCTCTCCACACCTGCGCTCCGGCAGTAAGTGCCTGTTGTTTTGGATTTCGGGCATCTATTTTTACCAGGGAGCAAATACCAAGGTTGCCCAATCATTTCCTAACCTAAAATTAGGCGTAACCTCGTCTCAAAAACGTGAAGACATGAAACTGAGTCCACGAGTGCCTCAGCCTTCAAACCCTGGCATTTCCGCTCCCACGGGAGCATAGCAGCCAGGCTTCCTGACGGGGGAGGCGCCGGCGCTCCGGGGAGAGGGGGTGGAAACTTACCCTCTTGGTCAGCTGCGTGTCCATCATGAAGTTGTGCACGTGCTTCTCCGCTTTGGTAAGTTCTAGCTTCCTTGCCACCACGGCCACCACCAGGGCCGTGCAGCCAGCACCCTGAAACCAGGCAGAGAAGAGAACCCAGCGTCACCGCTTTGTGTGGCGGCCGGTGCGTGGAGCATTTCGGCACCCACTGCTTGCCTGTCTCACCATAGCAACTGGTGCTCTTCCGTGTCTGCCGTGAGTGTCCCAGAAAACATGATGGACACACACAAGCAGTGCACCCTCACCCTGGCCTCAGAAAGCCAGCGTCTCTCCCGGTAAGGGCTGAAGCGTTCTGTGTGGATAAAGCCCGCTGGGAATGCAGGAGATACATGGCACATAGCAGCTCGCAGAGTTCATGGAGACTTGGGAAGAACAGCAGTACACCTGCCGTCATGGCGGGAATGGTGAACAAGGCAGCATGAAGGCGTAGTGCGGAAACCAGGGGCTCTCTAAGGAGCAGCACTCTGGGTTCTGCCCAGGTGGGGACACAGCCTGCCCGCCACTCTACTGCCATGGGCTGGGAGGGGCAGCGGTGAGCGTGCCCAGCACACGGGGACTGCACTCTGCTCCGCCCGCCCTGCAGCTGGGGTCACAGAGACATGGCTGAGCCCTGAGCCCGCACGGCGGGCACGGCCCGGTGCTCCTGCCCTCTGCCAGCCTGGGTCACCTTCATGCTGCAGCGAACTTTGCAGTCACAGGCTGACACGGAGATCTCTTGAGAATGAGCAGTGGCCTCCGGTGAGGCTCCCCTTCTGTGAGCAGGGCGTGCTGCTCCCGGCTCTGAGGGTCTTGGCTGGGGGACCAGTGAAGACATCCAGGGGCACGAGTCCTGCTATGGCCACCAACCCCTGGCCCGGGACAGAGCAGGCCAGCTGAGCTCCCGCAGGGCCTGGGCAGGGAGGTGGCAGCTGCACACAGACACTCACCCTGAGAGGGTGTCAGGGAGCTAAGGGTGGGCACAGGCAGGAGCTCCCTGCAGAGAAGCCCAGACATGAGCCTGAGGCTTCCTTCCGGAGCCCTAAGCACCCCGTGTCAGCCCCAGGGGAGGAGGCTCACGGGGCGACAGCCACAGAGTAACCTGGTTTTTGTCATCACCAGCAGCCCTCAAAGCCACAAAAGAGCAACTTGGTGGTGGCCACCATCTCAAGTATCTGTTAATGAGAAATGGTCACAGAGCTTGCAACACTGCTGTTAGCCCAAGTTCTCCAGTCTGCTGTGTGTGGTCTCGGAAACACACACACATACACATACACACACACACAGTTTATATGATGTCTATCAGTATATGTTTATGTCCACCTTAAAAATATTCACCCCACCGGGTGGGGACTGCACCTAAATCTTGTAAATCTCTTCTAAAGAGATCTTCGTGGTGGCCTGACTGATAAAGGGACTCTGGCTAAGATGCTGTAGGCTTCATACTGGAGCGTCTCCATTAGAGCCTCAGCCCGGCTCCCACTTCCAGCTTCCTGCTCATACACACCCCGGGTGGCAGCACCCACGTGGAAGACCTGGACTGAGTTCCCAACTCCAGACGACACTTGGCCCAGCCCTGGCTGCCGCAGGCACCTGGGGAGTGGACTGGCATAGCTGGGCGATTTTCATCTCCAACTCTCGAAAATCCTACCTAGGAAAACGATCTTTCCTCATGAGAGGGTGGGCCTGGTTCGCTCGCGCTGTACTGTACAATTATCTACGTCGTCATGTTTTCATTTGAATTAGAAGTGAATTATTCAGTTGTGGGCTGGAGGAGGACGTTTTGGGCTCACTGAATGAGCTGCTGGCAGGAAGGGTGACAGAGGCACGGCTGAGCGAGGGGCTGGTACTGCGAGAGACAGTTCCCCACCCATCTGGCTCTGAGAAGAAATCCGTACCCACAGAAACGCGGCGCTGGGAGTGCCCCAGCAGAGGCGGCCACGAGGCCGCGGGACCTCGCGTGATGAACCAGCTGGAGCACAGGTCCGTGGCAGCGAGGGCCCTCGAGTGCTGACCGCCCCCGGGGATGCCTGTGTCTCCTCGCGTGTTCCTGTCTCGACCAGGTCCGTAGCTGCGGTGCCTGATGAAGCACAGGGACTCGAAGACCAGAAGTCCAAAGCCTCCTGTGGTTCACGGTGTTTTATCTGAGAAGCTCTGGACGTGCAGATGTTTGAGAACTGAACAACGTGGTTATTTCAGTAAAACCAGCCGACGCCATGGCCATGTTGTGGTCCATAGCTCTTGGCCTGCAGTGTGAACTACAGTCTCTTGGGGCTCCGCTTCCAGGCGCCCCAGTGCTGACACTCTGCACCTGGCCGTGTGCAGTGACTCTCCAGGGCAGTCAGCGACTTAGATGGCGGAGGGAACACAGCAAGCGCCACACAGAGCCTTCTACCCGAAGAGGGTCCAGTCCCAGCAGGAGCCATTTCCCTGCGAAGGCCTCCTGGAAGTCATGCAGACGGCACAGTGGGTGCCCTGGTCCTCTGTGCCGTGTGCACACATGGAAACTGGGTGTTGGTGGGGAGAAGACGGGTCCTGGGAAGCATCTGTACCCAGCATGACAGTTCCGGCAGGTCAGGGAGGGGCGGACGGCATGTGGGCCAGCCTGAGTGCCCTGTGCGCCGCCGCCTCACCTGTCACAGCTGTGCTCCTCCAACCGCGCATCCTGTGAGGTGCGGGGAGCAGAGGGTGTGGAAACCCGAGGGGCCCCTGCTGCTCACGAGAGGCTGTGAGCAGGCAGTCGGCGCACAGGTTGAGCACCGGTCTCCCCTGGCAGGCGGCCACTGCTGAGATCCTCCTGGAGAGAAATCAGACTCCCAACAGGAGTGGAAAATCACTGGCATCCAGAGCTTCTGGAAGTCGATTCTCATTTGTGTTGATTCCTGGGCTCTGTTCTTCCTGTTGCTGGCCCCCTGCTTACTGAGTGTTCTCTCGTGCGCTGACAAGGCTGCAGCTGCTGGAGCTGAGTGCTGGGACCTGGACCTCACTCCATCATGCCAGCTGTGCCCCTTGGGGTGGGCACACGGTGTCCAGAGACACTCAGACCCTCTCTCTGGTCAGACACCAAGCCCTTTCTTCTTTAGGTCATTAATTTAAGGAAGCCATAAGCTTGTGCCTCCCCCAGTTCTTAATAAACCATGAGATGATTTGATATATACAGAATCACGTTTTAGAAAAGTAACCTTGACTTTCAAGTTTTCCGAGTTGCCCACCATGCGGCCGGCTCTCCTGCAAAGCTGTCTAGCTTCCAGTGAATTCCTGCCCGCACTTCAGTGCTCCCGGCCATCGTGGGGATGGGTGATGTCCTCGCCCACTCAGGACACGGTCCCAGGACCATTCTGTTTCACACAGTGGATCAGGGGGCTCCTACGTGAGCTCTGCCAGCACTCCTGCAAAGCCCCCCGATGGGTGGAGAGCAGGTGGGACCGCCGTGCCAGGCTGTGGAGGCCCCAGTGTGGGTCACGTCCTGGTCACCAGCACCAGCACTAGCCAGGGTGTCCCGACTGCCTGTGCTTCTCGTTTGCGGTATTGGGGACACCTGTGTGAATCACCAACCTGCCTCCAAGACGCCTGGGTGTCCAGCACCGATGACTGTTGATGAAGCCAGGATGTTAAAAGCAAAGGCTTAGATTTTCTGTGGGTGCTTTGTCGTCTCTCCTTCTAACAAGGTCAGTCTCTTCGGGGAGGGAGAAGGGGAGGGGTACGGGAGGAGAGGCCTCCTCGTCCTAGAGGAGAGAGTGACGGGCACCATGGATGCTCCTTATCCTGAGCTGGATCCAGCTGAGCGGACGGTGGGCAGCAGACAGCACCCGAGAGCCCTGGACCCTGCCCGGGGCCCCTGGATTCTCTGTGACAGCTCAGAGGCTGTGTCTAGACTGTGCAGAAGTTCAGGTCACCCCTTTACCCGGCGGCCCTACAGCTGCTCCCGGGAGTCACTGTGAAACACTTGGGATCAGGCGCCAAAAACTCAGGGCCATGAGTCAATGAGGGGACACTGCTTCAGCAGCGTGTTCCAGACGCTGCAATAACACGTATGTGTTACAATTTTCATTCCAGAATCCTCACCATCACGGAGCACGGCTGATGAAAATCAGCGTCTGCCTTCAAAACACTGAAGTCTAAAAGCTCCCAAAACTTCAAATTGCAGTTTGATAGCCAGTTTATTACAGTAAGTAGACTATTTAATTACCCTATAATTAAAATGACAAAAATCCTACTTTGTCCATAAAAGTGAACAAAACAGCCGTGCGATGGTTATTCTAATGTGTGAGTGCGTCCTCGGGAGGGCAGGCACGGGCACGTGACTGTCTGGCCGCAGCGCCTACTTGGCTGTGCTGGGGGTCACGGCTCAGAGCCCTCGAACCCTGAGTGCCTTTGTCACTGCACTCACCTGACAGAAGTAATTGTCCCACAACTCTGGCAAATGCAGTTCCAGCAGACTCTCGGCTTTAATACCCTGTCCCTGCGCCTTCCGGGGGTCCTCGGGTCGGGAAGCTGGAGCGCACGCGAGGGAGCTGTGTGGACGACTCCCTGACCGCTGCTGGAGGGCAGTCCCTGGCGTCCTCGCCCAGGAAGGGCGGGCAGGGCCTGCATCCCCTCAGTCACCAGACTTCCGGGGCTGCGTGCTGTCATTGGAGACAGCCGCTGTCACGCACTCCTCACGGGACCTTCTTGGGAAGATGCAGGGTGTGGCTGTGGTGCGTGTGGGGAGAAGACCCTCCCCGTGCAGGGCCTGCCTCGGAGGGAAAGAACACACAGCAGACATACACGATGTTCAGCGCTCAGGGGCAGGCGGTGTCGGATGCAAGGCTGGACGCTTCCCTTGTTCTGCACGGGAAGGCTTCCAGCCTGGCTCTCGGGGTGGCTGCGTCCAGTGGGGGAGGGGGAGGCCCCACTCGGGGAGAAAGTGGGGCCCAGGGACAGGTGGGGCGAGGTCCCGCCGTGGGTGATCCTAGCTGCCCCTGGTGGGAGCCCGGCCCCAGCCCGGCTCCAGTCTGGGAATGCCCTCCTCTGCGTCCTCCCTGGATTTTAAGCCAGGGCAGGGCAGGTCTGAGGCTTACAGGATTATGATCAAATATTTTTATCTCGCAGATAAAAGGGTCAGTGAGGTGTCAAGGCTGCTGCTCTGGTTCCGCCTTTCCAGTTTGCTCGCTGAGTGAGATTTTAAAAGCTTCTCGCCGTGGGGCTTCCAGCTGTCATGGAGGCGGGGGCACTGCCCTGGAGTGCACTGCGTGACCGGTGTGCCGGGTGGCTCCCCGCTCCACACGCAGGAATCGGCGCACAGTCCCGGGCTTCCTAGAGCGGTGTTAGAGATGCACTTAGCGGGTAACCCGCGTCCCCACGAATGAACAGGTAACACCCCGTGCGAAAGGTAATGGTGCCCACAGCTCAGCCACCTACACTCTGTGTCCACGGGCTGAGAAGAGTTGTCCCAGGTGCACAGGGACAGCGGAGCCAAGGGGACAAATGGAAGACCTGCGGTGTGCTTGAAGAGGAGAGAGACCCTCACCCCACGCTTTCCCAGGTACAAGTCCGAGCTGTCAGGATGTGTAGTGTCTGTGGAGGCATCACATGCCAGATAGGATAAGGTTGACACACTCAGTGACACACTCACTCTCTCTGTGTGTCAGCGGCGGTGCGGAGAAGCTAGCTGATGCTGCCCCGGCCCTGGCACTAGGCCGCAGCAGTGTTGGCCTGCCACCAGTGCCCACGAGAAGCAAGCGCCCACGAGGTCTCCTTGCTCGTCACGACACCCCAAACAGAGTTCTCAGGTCCCAGAGGGAGGGCAGAGGATGAGACGCACATGCGTGACTGGCTCAGATGGTTTTCTCTGAAAGTGTCCTGAATGACTCTTCTATGTCTACCAGGCACCTCGTGACCTTGTGCTTGAAAACGACGTCCCCGAGCGAGCATGGGTCCCTTCTCAACCTTGGGGACGGGGCATCGCTGCCTGCTAGCTTGAGCCTCCCCATGGAATCCTTGGAACAAGGCTGCTCCTCTGCGACGCCCCCACGTGGACAGTGTGGCCTCGGGCTCTGGTTCCCGGCAGAGGTGATTTCTTGGTGCTGCCGTTTGTCTCCGCCTTGGCAGTACGAGCCACCTTCCTCTAACAGCATGTTTCTGCTCAGAGCCCTGCAGAGCGGTCTTAGTCTCTGTCCCTGGCTCCCAGAGAGATGACTCACGACACACATGGAGCTATTGAAATTTTTAAAATTACAGCATACTTCTGAATTTTAATGAATTGAAATGCGAACATTTAAGATGAGGGCACACAGTAATTTCTCCGTTTCAGCTAGCTTCCGGAAGCAGACGGGCGAGGCTGATGACCCGAGGCGGGCCTTTGTGAAACTCTGCATCTGCCGGGCTTAGCATTGAGGTGAACTGTCGCCTTCAGAATGAAAGCCGAGCACGTGAACGCGAGACCACGTGCCACCAAAATGGGAGAGACCCACCTGCAGGAGCCCCCAGAAACAGAGCCCCCGAGAGGATTCTGGGTGACCCTGTGCTCTCAGGAGTGCCGGAGATTGCACTTCCTCTGCACAGTTTGTTAAAGCCTGAGTTGCAAAGGGAAAGATGGAGACGGGAGACTCCGAGCATGCATGGTACTTGAGCACATCTTGCCTCAGTTCCCGGGAGGCAGGGGAACTTGCTGCCTTCCCGTCCAGGGTCCTCAGACAGAAGGGGCACAGCTGTCTGGGCGTCCCACAGATGGCTCTGCAGTTTCCCAAGGCCTGGCCTGGCCCACCAGCTCCCCCTCCCCCCAGCCCCAAAGCTCATCCAGCGTCCTGGTCACCAGGGCAGGAGCCCTCACTTGTTCGCTGTGAGTTAAACATTAAACTCCATGCACCCGGAAGGCAGGGCGGGGCAGCTGGGGGCTGCTCTGCCCGCGTTCCTGGGAGGGCGGCCCACTCCGGGCACTTAGCAAACACTTGCTACAAGACTAAACACTACTGTACGCCACGGAAGCCGTCTACGCCCTTCCACGTGCTTCTCGATGCCTCAAACGAGGAAAGCCCCCGAGAAACGCAGGCCAGTGCATGCCAGGAGGGGACACGGAGCCCGGCGGAAGCTCGGGAGGAGCAGCAGCAAGGGCCCGAGGCTGGCTGGGGGCCCGGCCGCCTACCATGATCCCTGTGAGCAGACACACGCCTTTCCCGCAGTACGTGTTGGGCACCATGTCGCCGTAGCCGATGGACAGGAACGTGATGGAGATCAGCCACATGGCTCCCAGGAAGTTGCTCGTGACGTCCTGTTGGTCGTGGTACCTGGAAAAGAGCAGAGAAAGCCACTCCTTTACCATGGGATTCGCTTTCCCCGGCTCCCGGGTTCCTGGCAGGTGTTGGATCCGCAGGTGTCGGATCCGCCCCAGGGCAGAGAAGCCTCAGGAGGCGCCCAGACGCTCACAGCAACCGGAAGGCAGCTGCAAGGTACGAAAGTGCTCCTGTCACTGGCCTGAGGGGCAACACGCGGCCCTCTGTGCCCACGCGCCTGGCTCCCCGGGGACCTCGCACAGGCACCACCTCTGCAGCTTGGGCGGGAGCATGGACCCTGAGCTGGGTCTGCCCCTGGCATCGGGCCCCACTGCTCCTTGGCCTTCAGCAAACACCAGCTGGGAGCCTCTTCTGCCCGCCCTCCCCCCGGGAGCCCCCGCACCCACTGCCCGTCCTTGGCCCCTCTGCGCAGCATCCTGCCAGAGGACAGAAACTGGCCATGGAGGCCCTGCCGGGCCGGGAGCTGCTGTCCTCCCTGTCATGCACAAGGAACTCGTGGGTGCGGGTGGTCCCTGCTGTTCCGTGAGGTGTCTGAGAAGGTTTTAGATCAGAAACAGATGTCCTGTCTCAGTTTCACTAAGCCACGACCTCACGCCCCAGACAGCAGCAAGGCCAGGAACCGCTGCTCCCGGTGCACGTCCTGGGTGCGCACGGCCACGGCCACCTCTGGTCTCTGCGGCAAAGCAGGCCCAGCCCCCACTACTCTACAGAGGAGTCCTCGCCACCCCATCTCGGGTGCCACGAGGCTGGACCGCCCTTGCTCGCCCTTTCCCACCCCCTCCAAGATCTGAAAGAGCTACAGAGAAAGGGAGAGATCCATCTTCCATCTGTGGGTTCACTCCCCACGTGGCCCGGGGGCTGGCGCTGGGCCAGGCTGAAGCCATCCATCCTGGTCTCAGGACTTGGGCTGTCACCTGCTGGCTGGGAGTGGAGCAGCCGGGACTTGAACCGGCGTCCACGGGGGATCTGGCACTGCGGGCGGCAGCTTCACCCGCAGCACCTGGTGCCTCACAGCAAGGTAAGAAGGGGTGACCACGGCAGGAGAGGCCTCCCACAGCGCATGGGCCACGGGATGAAACAATGCTTGCATCTGGTATAAAAAATTTGAAATCCCACACCTGGGTTCCTCACATTCTCATTTTCTAGGCTGCCCTGTGGCCCTTAGAGGGCCTGAAGGAAAGGGCTGGGGAGCGGGCAGCAGCCTGGGGGTGCCCTGGACCTTCTGTAGGCAGGAGGGGGCTCCCACGTGGCTGCAAGCTCAGGGCAGCCGCTGTGACCAAGCCAGGATGTCTGGGGGGGAGACTGTCCTTGCTGGGGGCCTGGGGTGGCTCCCAGCATCCCTGTGAATCCCTGTCACACGTGCATGCGGGAGGGGCTGGGGTGCTAGTGCTGTGCTCCGTGCACAGTGGAGCTTCAGCGGGTGCCTGGGTTCTGGTTCAGGAGTCCTGGAGCGTGCGCTGGAACCCATGCCTGGCACCCGAGCACTGGTTCCTCACCAGACAGATGCATAACCCGGGCTCAGAAGCCTCAGCAACAGCAACGCCAACAAATTCTGATCGGTAGCTGTGGGGCGATGCAAACCCAGAGGTGTCGCCTCAACCCAGTTACCATGGCTGATAGCAAAAAGGGACGAAGTAGCGAATGCTGGAGAAGCTGTAGAGAGGGGACCCCCACACTGCAGGTAGCTCCCCAACGAGTACGGTCATCGGGGGAGCAGCACGGAGACCCCTCGCAGACCTCAATGTGGGGCCCAGGGTCCCCGGAAAGAAAGGCAGCACAGCAGCGACACCTGCACTCCATGTCCCGACAGCCGGGAGCCCCTTGATGACATGTGGCTAAGGAAAGCGAGGCACATGTACACCATGCCACACCGTGCAGCCACAAAACGGACGTATCTCACCGCAGTGGACGCAGGGCCCTGGAGGACTGGGTTCTCACACGTGAAAGTGTAAAACCGGGCAGTGGTGGGGCCAGCGCTGTGGTGCAGCAGGTTAATCCTCTGCTTGCACCAATTCTAGTCTTGGCTGCTCCTCTTCCCATCCAGCTCTCTGCTACGGCCTTAGAAAGCAGTTGAAGTTGGCCCAAATCCTTGGGCCCCTGTACCCACGTGGAAGACCTGGAGGAAACTCCTGGCTTTGGATCAGCTCAACTCCAGCCACTACAGCCATCTGGGGAATGAACCAGCAGATGGAAGACCTTTCTCTGTCTCTCCCTCTACCTCTCAAATAAATAGATACAAACTGGGCATTGTATCTGAAGGCAGAATGGTGATTTCTAGAGGCGGGGGGAGGGGGAGGAGGCTGGGGGGTGTCTGCAGCTCATAGTGCGCATCACATCAGCCCGAGACAGTGGAGGGAAGGGGCCCGGCGGCTACACAGGGACAAAGAAAGGGCAGCAACCCGGTCTGGTAGCTGGAGCTGCACCCGTGGAAACACAGGGTCACCCATCAGTTAATGACTGCACCATCTTTACTGAGCACACTCTGGGCGCCCAGTCCTGTTCTGGCACTTTCTCGTCTCCTGCACAGCCCTGCCACACACAGAGAGCTGTGGCCCCTACAGTCATGCTCTGTCCTCAGCGTGCCGTGTCTCAGTGGAATCTCCCCATCACTTTACACCACCACAGCGAGTGGCCGGACCCGCCCCCATCCACTAGGCACCCAGTTTTCGTGGGGGCACAGAAGCTCACCCAGGAGGGTTTGCAATGTCTTCTTAACAAACTTGGTGGCCACCTGGGAGCCGCAGCGCTGGCCTGGGCGTGGATGCCTTTCTCACCTGCTCTGCCCGCACCACATTTTATTTAGTTTTCCATTGCGGGTAGTAAGTGAGCGAGAACTGCGTGGAGGATTACTCTCTGGGAAACCGAGGCAAGCTCACCTTGAATAAATACACAAGTCTGAAATACAGTTCTGAGTAAGTGTCGCCATCATCACTGGACTCTGCCGTGACAGCCTTCCAGCCACGTCCACGGCGGGCCAGTGCACCGAGGCCTGTGCTCCTGCCCAGAAGAAAGCGGTGTCTCTAGGAGCCGGTAGTTTATGACTTGGGAGTCAATGGAGAGTTGTCCTTTTTACTTAGCAAATAAAACCGAGAAATGGCTCAGACGAGAGAGCGGCTCACAGGAACATCCACATCACAGCCACAGAGTGACGCCTGATCAGGAGGACGAGTGACCTCTCACGTGGATGTTCTTGTGGCAAGCAGACGTTAAGTTGGGAATGACTGGGCCGGCGCTGTCGCGTAGCGGGAAAAGCCATGGCCTGCAGTGCCGGCCCATATAGGTGCTGGTTTGAGTCTTGCTGCTTCACTTCCGAGCCCTTGGACCCCTGCACTCATGGAGACCTGGAAGAAGCTCCTGGCTCCTAGCTTCAGCTCATCCCAGCTCTGGCCGTTGTGGCTTTTTTTTTTTTTAGAGAGCAAGCGAGCGAGCACGAGAGAGCGCCAGCGTGCTTCCATGCGATGGCTCACTCCCCAGATGGCTGCAGTGGCTGAAGCTGAGCTGATCTGAAGCCAGGGGCTTCTTCCAGGTCTCCCACGTGGGTGCAGGGCCCAGGGACTTGGGCCATCTTCCACTCTTTCCCAGACTATAGCAGAGAGCTGGATCGGAAGTGGAGCAGCTGCGACTTGAACGGCACCCATATGGGATGCGGCCATTTGGGGAGTGAACCAGCAGATGGAAGACTCTGACCCTGACTCTCTCTGTAACTCTGCCTTTCAACTAAATAATCTTTTTTTTTTTAAAGTCAGGAATGTCAGCAGGGGGTCGTTAAGAACCAAGTTAGGTTCTCTAAGAGCCCCCGACTTCCTCCTGGGCTGTTCTGAGAGCAACGTGAGACACCTCAGGGTAGCATGGTGCTCGCAACACTGAGGTTCCCAATCTGTCCCAGAGTCACAGCATCTGAACGACCAAGCTGCACCGTCAGGCCTCATCCTGCAGCTCATGTCCCTTCCTCACGGGGGCGCTGTTCTGAGCCACGGTGAGGCTGTGACTCCGGCTGACTTCAGCTTCTGACCACAGAGGCGCTGAAGGTTAAGTCACAGCAAGGGACCTAACCATCTCCAGTTTGGAAAGAAGGGCCTTGGGGTGTGGGCAGACAACCTGCAGGACGGTAACAGCACCGCAGGGGGCGCAGACTGCAAGACAGAGATATGAGTGAGGTTTAAAAGGAAACGTTCTTTCTCATACTGTCCAGTTCTTTTCTGTTCATTGACTGCTGACTGTGGGTCTAGCATTTATTCTTAGATCCCAGAACCGATGGCTCCCTACAGCACCTGCTGGGGTTCAGTGGGTCGTTTCTCCAAGGGACTCATGGAATTCTTCCCGGATTGAAGCGACCTAGGGCCAGGGCTGGGGCAGGGTCAGGCTGTCCTCTCTTGTGGCTCTCTTCCTCCTACCCAGGTGTAGCCCCACCCATCTTCCTGGCCCTGATTTGTCCCCGTCTGCAGGGAGCGCACCCAGGAGCGTCTTGCCGTGCTCCCTGCACCCCCCAGAGCCTGCTAGCCTGACGCAAATGGTCGCTGGCTCCCTGGATTGTCTTTGGGAGCTGCAGCCACAGCCTGCAGCAGCCTTGTGGTTCTCACCGCACGGGGCCTGGGGTCACCCAGCAGGGACTGGGTGTCTGCAGGACTGCATGTTCTCAACCTGTCCGGCCCCATGAGGCCTGCGGGGTCACAAAAGGAGACACAAAAATTGTTCTTGCCACTCGGCTGCCAGGAACCTGACTTGCCACCTCACGTTCCAGGGTTTGTGTGCAACCAATAAGGGGTTTTTATCCCTGCAAAAATGATTCAACAGTGGTGGCGCACAGCTGGCAAGCCGTGTTCATTAATCCTCCCCTGTCACACTCACTGCCAATCCTGCAACTGGCAAAAATACCTCACACGTCAGCCTTGGCTTTGCAGAGTACCAGGAGGATTTAAGTGCAAGTGATCAGCTCACCAAATCTCCACCCATCTCTGCCGAAATGCCGCGTACATGGCAGCAAAGCCACCATCACGACAAACAGCCAACATGATAAACCCACAGGAGCAAAGGGCAAGGCGAGCAGATGCAGAGAGTGAGCAATGTGGCTTTCCATGGACCTGAAAGTGCGTCTCGTCTCCAGCCCAGGCGGGGCAACAGGATTCAGATGCTCCTGAAGCATCTAAGAAAATATCTGAGCCCATGGACCACAAGACACTGGTCAGCTAGCAGCAGAGGGCAGGGGCTCCTGAGAGCCGGCATCCAACCCCAGGGAGCCATAACACTGCCCTGCTGAGTACCTAACGAGGACTCTGCAGGGCACAGCTCAGGAGAGACATGGAGCAGAGCCCAAGGTCTCCCTCCCAGTGCTGAAGTGTGGAGCTGGGGTCTAGGGCGGCCAGGAACTAAAGACTCAAAAACCAGGCAGGGGAGGTCTTCAGAGAGACACCCAGGGCTGCAGCGTGGTCTCTCCCAGTATTCAGCTGAGCACGGATCAGCCCTCGGGCGGCAGAAGTGCAGGTAGTCTGTTTAGAGCAATAGGATGTCAGCCGAAGATGCACTCACTTAGGGACAGGGTGCCTGAGGCTGTGGCATGCTACATCCCTTACAGGAACCACTACAGAAACATACTGAAGACTGATCATTGACGACCCAATAAAAGATGTATGACAGCTTAATAAAGATCAGCCCAAAAGGAGGCAAAAATAGAACCAAGAAACAGAACAAGTAGGATAAGGAACATGGAGCCAGAGGTCTGATTTATGGAAGTATATATGTAGCCACATTAAACATAAATGGCCTAAATACCCCCCGTGAAAAGGCACAGACCATCATAAAACCCATGGAAGTTTTACAGCTCAGAGCAAACTGCTGTCACACAATGGATTAGGTTCAAAGCTGAAGGGACAAGGGGTGAAGCACACCGAGGGGCCTTCCCTGCCTGGCCCTGACAGGACAGACTGGAGACTCAGGACCCAGAGCTGACCCAGGGACAGCACACGACATGAAGACCGAGTTCCACTTTCTAAATTAACCTGAGCACTCCCAGTTTTCTTCCGCACTCCCTGGGCCTGCTATTAGAGCTCATGGACACAGAGGACAGAGTGCTTCCTCTGGAGAAGCAGCCACTTCGGAGCAAAGATGTCCATGTCCTAGCATCAAGGACTCCCAGAGGAGCAACTTGGCTTTCATCCTACCTGAGTTTCACCGGTCAATAAGCCCCTCTCCCCATACCAAGCTCCCAGTTGTCACCCAGTCCCCACTCCTGAATACGAATGAACAACAGATGAGCACAGATGTGAAGCCTTTTTGAAAAAAGAGATGGAAAAAATAGAGGGGGGAAGAAAGGGAGGGAGGAAGAAATGACATAATGCAGACTGTGGGCTCTCTGCACTCCGTAAGGCACATCATACAAGAGCTACAGGAAAACACTGCATGCATAAAAAGAAAAAAGGGACAAAAATTAGTGAAAAATGACTAATATAATCAGAATGACAATCTTCCAGAAAGCAGGAAAAGAGAGGACAAGACGTGCTCTCCGAGAACTGCGCACAGAGGGGCCAGCAGCTGTGTTTTCCAGAGGTGGCCAAGAGAAGTTGGAGGAAAGAAACAAAGATGTTTGATCTCCATACCGGGGAGCGGAAGGCAGGCATCCTGTGCAAAGGGTGGATTCCACAGACTGCACGCACAGTGAGAAATGCCGGATGGCGAGGGACACCCTGCGAAGTACAACACCAGGGATGCAGGGGATGTTAGATGCTGCGAAGAAGGGAAGTCGCCCAGAGCTGTAACATGGCTGCCTCCAACAGCACTTGCTCTACATGTGTGTACTAGGGGCCTATCCGGTTCTCCGGGTTTCGCACACACGAGCAATGGAGGATGCTGGAGAACGGGAGCAGGTGCAGCTGAGGCCCTCCTCCGCGTGGCCTTCCCGCAGAACAGCTGTATGAAGTTTTCCATGTGGTCAGGGGCTGACTCTCCAGCTATGAGGGTGCACCCATGGCCAGCTCAGTGGTGAGTCATCAGACAGCCCAGCCGGCCCAGGTCAAGTTGTGGTGTCCAAATCCGCTTTGGGTCAGAAATGATGCTGATACTGCCAGGTGCACCTGTTGCACTCCCCAGGAAGTGGGAAGTGTACACCAAGTGATATTTTGAACCATAAGAGGCAAGCAGTTTTGATTCAAAGTAGTCAGTAAAATAACTGACTCAAGTAATTAACACATATAAACACAAAAGACATCCAGAGAGGCATGGATCTAGCTGAGGAGGAGAAAGGAGAGGTATACCAGGTGTCTCCATTTGC